TAACTTAGTATAGATTCTTTTGAATTTAAAAATTTAAAAATTTTTTTCAAATACGTATTTTCTTTTTTTCCCTAATACATGTTTTCTAAATTTTTATTTGAGTATTGTTATATTGATTTCATTTTAAATAATAAGGTGTAATTTTAATGTTTGGAAGTCAGACATACGTGTTTTAGCCATTATATTTTAAGTACTTTGATTTTTACTAAGGAAGCGAACTTTTTTTTTTTTAAATTTGGTAAATATTTATTGAACACTTAATCTGTTCAAGGTTCTCTTCCAAACATCAGGGATATGACAGTGGACAAAAGAGACAAAGTTCCTGCTCTCCTGAAACCTATATTCTACTTAGATTTGATAGGCAAAAAATATAAATCTAAATTCTGTGACTGTAGCGTGGGCTGTGGACCAGCAGCATAGGTGTTAGCTGACAGCTGGTTAGAAAGTCCCCTTTCTTCGAGTCCTTCTGAATCAGGGTCTTCATTATAACAAGATTCTCTAGGTCATTTATATGCACATCAAAATTTGAGGAGCACTGCTTTGAAAAGAAAAATAGAGCAGTGTGAATTTGGAAAGGCGCCACCTCTAGATGGATGGAGTGCTATGGGGCATGCTTGGCAAGCCCGTTGCAAAGAGAAGGCACCCTTTTGTGGGTGGGGGTAGAAACAGTCTTGCCCCAGCGCATAGGTCTTGGGAAGTAGAGTGTGGGCTGGATGTCAGCCCTACTTTCCTCCTTAGTGAGCCCGCTTGTAGAGTGAACAACTTCCACAAACACAGCAGTTCTGTATTGTACAGAAGAATGTATAAAATATGTGAAAGTGTAAAGGATAGTAGTAAAATGAACACTTTTGTTCCCACTATACAGTTAAAGAATGGAATGTTATGATTACCTCTAAAAGGCTACTTTTTAGCCTTTCACGGTTGTAAGCCCCCCCAAGATAATGGATTTTTGCTGTCCTTATTCCATTGTTTTTCTTTATTGTTATAGGACAGTGCTGTGTCCCACAACATTTAGGATTTCATTTTTGAAAAGACTAGTAGCAAGCACAAATTTAGTTATTGTAAGGATAGAGTAGAATTGCCACTTTTAGATTAAAGTTCCCAGGACAATATAAACTGGGTAGTCTCTGGCTAACCTGTCTTGCTTCCCTGGGAGTTGACAAGAATCCTGGGGTAGTCAGTGGGCAAGGTCCTGGGAAACAGGGCTTCACACAGGACTTCAGGCAGGGCAGAAGTATGGGCCCGGTGGTGGGCCTTGGCCAGGTATATGGTTAGAGGGGATGAGTTACTATGTGTTTTTTGCTTCCAAGCTTACTATGGTCCACCTCAAAGTTTTAGGAGTAGGTCAAAGCAGAGCATTTTGTGGTGTGAAATGAGAGACCTCAGCTGATCTAGGTGGCAGGGAATGGGGGTGGAGGGAAGAGTAGGAACTTCATTATTACTTCGTCTAAACAAGCCAAGTGCAATTGAGAATTTGGGTCAGGGACACATGGGCAAAGTGTCCTCAGGTCAATAAAATGGTACCGTGGCATTGGGGATTTTGATGATAGTCTTCAGCACATCTGGCCTGTGAATCACATGGCTGTAATTTAGACAGAACACCCTTGATACCTGGTGCCCAGCAGTCATCCTGGAAGCTCCCTTTGATGGATGCCTTTGCCTCTTTCTTGGCTGGATCTCATGTTTTCTGTATCCTATTATATCATCTTACTTAGCTTGCACTTTTCTTTTGGTAGAGTGCACTTCTAATAGCTTCTTTTGAAAGTGCGTGAGAAGTACATTTTAATTTTTTTTATTTTTTATTTTTTTAAGATTTTATTTATTTATTTGACAGAGACACAGGGAGAGAGGGAACACAAGCAGGGGGAGTGGGAGAGGGAGAAGCAGGCCTCCTGCTGAGCAGGGAGCCCGATGCGGGGCTCGATCCCAGGACCCTGGGATCATGACCTGAGCCGAAGGCAGACACCCAACGACTGAGCCACCCAGGTGCCCCGAGAAGTACATTTTTAATATTTCATTCTAAATTTTTTTTTAGCTTTTTATTCTTCCTCATAATTATATGGTCAGAGGGTTGGAAATTATTTTTTCATCAGCTTTTGAAGGTAGGTTTTGAAATCTGAAGCCACATCATAAATGGAACTTTCTGAGTTTCTGTTATTTTGGCACTTTTGGGGGCATAGTAAGTAGGCATTTTTGAAGCTTTGAGTCATCAGAATTACATTTTTGGTTTGTTATGATTTAATCCGTGTTGCATTTTAAGAACATAATGAGGAAAAATAAATGAAACCAGCTTGTACATGTGACTGAGTAAGGGAATTTAATATAATAAGTCTATTTAAGAACATGTTTGAGATTAAATGTGATTTTTATTATCTGACTTTTATTTTTGCCCGAGTGTGTATATGAAGAACGTGTGAAGAAAAAGTCCCTTTTTCCCTTCAGTGCAGGCTGCTGTATCCCAATCCCCTGGTTAACCCACATAAATGTGTGTAATGTCTTCTTTTCTTACCTATTTTTTTTTTTAACCTGTGTGTGACGCTCAGAATTCTCACCCCACTGCCATTACGGCATGTGCTCAACTAAATGGCCAGTATGAGCTATATTAAGGGTACATACCAGCCCAGGCTGAGCTTGCAGCACTGACAGTCTTTGGCCTACCACATGCCAACATGTCCCATGATTTGCATGGTGATAACAAAGTTCATACACAAAAATAAACATGTCAAGTGTAGTATTTGGCAGACATGATGCAAAGACACCATGGAAATGTGTAGTGTATTCTTTTTATTTTTATAAGATTTTATTTATTTATTAGAGAGAGGGAGAGAGAGATAGCACAAGTAGGGGAAGTGGCAGGTTTGATCCCAGGACCCTGGGATCACGACCTGAGCTGAAGGCAGATGCCTAACCGACTAAGCCACCCAGGTGCCCCCCTAGCATTGGTTTTTAAAACAAACGAAGTAGAATGTTTTATAATCAGAAGGAATGTTTTACTAAAGATCGCATATTTCACTTTAGAGTGTTAGAAGTTGTTGCTTTATAATGTTATACAGTGGTTAGTTGTGCAGATCATAAAGTAAAGCAGTGCGGTGATGGCTGTAAATTCAAGGTGGTAGTTACCTCTGTTGGGAGGCCGGGAGAATGGGCTTGATGGGAGGCACACAGTGGACTTGAAAAGTACTGGTGATGTTCTTTTTCATAGGCTGGTATTCATTTCATTTTTTATTTTTTAAAGTTTATATATGTTATATTTTTTATAATGTATGATTTATTTCAAAATTAAAACTAAGTAGACTTATATAATAACAATTTAAAATATTTCTCAAATGTTTGATTAAATCTTAAAGCCTTTTTATCTTTACAAAAGCCTCAAAACACGTAGCTTACAAAATAATTTTTTTTTAGTACAGGGTAAAAACAAGGAAGAGTTATTATATATCTTTTTTTCAATAGGTTACGCTTTAAAATTATATTTTAAGGTCATGCTTTAAAAATTACATTTAACATCAGCCTGGCATTCTAAGTAACTGTAAAGGGTGGTGATTATATGTGTCAGGATGGAGAAAAGTAATGAGTTGCACATGTGCAGCTCCCCATTCTTAGCTATAGACTGGTTTACTTGAGAATACCCAGTTCAGTGCTCATTTTGTATTATTTTTATGCAGTTGATTCTTGGCCCTTAAGCAGTAGCAACCCCAGTTGGTGGTGGTGGTTTTTTTTTTTTTTTTTAATGTCAAAAGAGCTTATGAATCAGCCTGCTGGATGTGGGGCCTAGAGATTGTGTCTGGGTTTCCATTGTAGGCATAGTGTTTTAGCTTAGATGGCTTGCCTTTTGGAGCAGCTGAAGGATATAGTGCTGGAGGAGCAATGTCAGCTCGTCTTCCTTAAACATTGGCAATGAGCCTTGTGCTTCTCAGCTTTTAGCTCACCAGAGAGCATATTTATCTTGAATCATTCTGGGTATCTGGTGAAAGATTTTCAATTTTGTAATGAATAATGGGTTTAAAATAATACACTGTTCTTAAAGGGAACCCTTTAAGAATCAAAATATAAAATTTTGTATTGAGTTATGTATTTTCTGGTAATCTATTACTGTAATCACTAAGTCTCCCAATTCAAAATTTCTGTAATGATTCTAGAAATTATCTTATAATTCTGGAAATATGTCTCTAGTTATAATTGCGTTATATGTTAGAAGTGACTTATGTAAATATTTTTTATGGTCCTGTTAAAGAGGATGATAGCTGAAATGATATGTGAGATTTTAAATATAATTAAGAGAACTATCCCCTCCCCTCCCCTTTTAAAACATTGTTTTCTCTGACAATTCTCTTAGGTAACAGAAATTCAGGACTGGAGTGCATCAAGCCCACATAGTGCAGCATATGTTCTCTGGGATAATGGTGCTAAGAACCTTTACAGAGTTGGCTTTGAGGGCATGGTGAGTAGTAAGAATCACAAAAGATAAAAATATTGGATAGATGAAAGAAGGGAAATAAAAGTAGCTCCTATTGTATTCCTTTTTTTTTTTCTTTTGTCATATTTTATCAGAATACAGCCATCTGAATCATGAATTTGCTGTAGGAAGAAAATCTGACAAGTGAGGTTGTAATAAACTTTACATTTTTAGTACATTTGCTTAAGCTATTTAATAGTAAATATGATTTTGTCCTCAGTTAATATTTGGGTAGCTTACTATATGTTGATTGTGTAGAGCTGATCCCCTTATAAATCTGAGTTAGGGGCTTATTTACTAAAATCTATCAAAAAGTTTTAGAATCATCTGTAAGGCTGCTCCTCAGCATGGGCACCGAGTATAGTATTATAATGAGGTTTTTATAGGATATTCGTATTCTAGCTCTGGTAGCTAATAAAAGTATAAATTATAGTAGGTGTTAAAGTTGTTTTTAAGGAGATTATTTTTCCCTTCTATTTTTAAAGAGTAGTGTTGGTAATTGAAAATGTTTGATCTTGGGAATGCAAGCTGGTGCAGCCACTCTGGAAAACAGTATGGAGGTTCCTCAAAAAGTTGAAAACAGAGCTACCCTATGACCCAGCAATTGCACTACTGGGTATTTACTCCAAAGATACAAATGTAGTGATCTGAAGGGGCACCTGAACCCCAGTGTTTATAGCAGCAATGTCCACAATAGCCAAACTATGGAAAGAGCCCAGATGTCCATTGACAGATGAATGGATAAAGAAGATGTGACACACACACATATATATATACACACACACACACATATATATACAATGGAATATTATGCAGCCATCAAAAAATGA